GGGTGTAGTGGCTCACTCAATTCCAGTACTTTGGGAGGCCAATGCAGGAGGATCACTTGAGCCTAGGAATTCAAGACCAGCCTGGGCAATATAGTGAGACCCTGACTCTATAGAGAAAAATTCACCTAAAAATTCACTGTCTCATTTGCACGAGCCATATTTCAAGTGCAAATAGAATAACCACGTTAGTGGCTACTGTACTGGTTAGTACAGATATGGAATATTTCCATAATCACAGAAAGTTCTATTGGCCAGCAATGTTCTAATAGGTTATGCATCTTTTGGAAGAATTGTGTTTCTTGTCTATTTTAGTGAATCTCATATTATGATTTTCAGATCCACAGAGGGCCTTTAAATTAAAAAAAACACAAGTCACATAAATGAAATTTTTTCCACATGTATTCTCTATCACAGATTGGTTGTAAACTGCTGGATATTAAGGATCATGCCACATTTTTTTCTTCACTATCTACTGCTGTCAATTCCTTTAGTCTATATTTACTGAGTGCCTACAAACTGCAAACACTGGGGGAATGTTAAAAATATATAACACAGTATCTTAGACTTTGAGTGGTTTGCAATGTGGTTAGGGAAACAAGACCACTGCCCAAAATAAAAACATTGTATATATTAAATTACAATATGAAAGAAACCACAGGACAGTGTATAAAATATATACTAAAGATTACAGGAAGTTTTAAAAAAAGGTATTACTCTGGATTTTAATAGTAGTAGAAAATATTTACAAAAGATGTTGGAATTGAAGGTTGGATATGTCCTAATTTGGTGGAGGAAGGCAATTTCAGGTATGGAGAGAGGCCTGAACAAAGGCAGAATGCCTTTGAGGGTAGGCAAATTTGGTTGGCGCCATACCCCTTATGGAGATTTGAGTGGACAAGTAATTGGAAATAATGTTGGAAAAGTGGGTTGGGACTAGTCTATGGTAGTTCATGGTTTGAATTTTATCCTGAGAGCAAGAAACAGTTACCTAAATATAGTATCAAAGCAAGAGAGTGATAATGGAAAATGTTGGTTTTCTGAAAGCTTCATATAGAGAAGTATTTAGGTAGATTAAGGAAGAAGAGAATGGAAGCAAAACACATTTTTAGTTTGAAGTTAGGGTGCACTTAATAGGAAATGTTTAACAGGAAGAGCAAGAGGTACCCATATGTACCTGGGGTGTGGAAAGGTAAAAAGACCCTAAAGAGATCTAGTTTTGGTAGACACCTGCGTGATGGTTACAGCTGAAACCGTAATAGGTGGATTCTCAAAATAATATAAGGGTAGAAAAGCAGCCAGCCTAAGGAATGGCCTGTATCCAATATCCAGGGATGTCTTCTCCCTCACCCCAAGATGGTGCCATTCTGATTCAGGCAGCAACGAGCGTGTAGCATTAGCTCTCCTGTCGTTTTACAATAAAGGGCCACTTTTGACAAATTTTGCACACTCCCTGGACATTGGGTGCATATCTGCAGAAGAGAAAGAAACATTAGAACTCCAGAAAGAAAAGCCAAGAAAAGAACAAACGGGGATCAAGAATTAACTGCCAGTACACCTTTCCAGAATTCCTCTAACGCGGGGCCGATAAATGGTCGTGTCCTACCCTCCTAACAGGCTAGACTAGGAGATGCCATTTCTTCCTCTAGAGTCCGGTGCCCAATCAGCTCCCCAGAGACTTTCAGTAACAGACATCGCCCAGGGGAAGGTCCTCATTTCTGAAGATTACTATTCGAACATATTTATTATGCCCTCTGCAGAGACTTCTCAATCTGACAGCCTCAGTTTGTCCCGGTGTAAAAGGACCGCGGTACGTAAAGAACTCATCAAGCATTACAAAATAAAGTACAGCCCTACCACCGCACGATACACGGCTTTCGTGCGTAGAGCTTGCACAAAGAGCCAGAGGACCCCTCTAGAAAGAACTTATTCTAAAATTAAGGAACGAGATCAAGTTTCACAGGTCTTTGAAAGTCAGCAGGACTGGGGCGCCGAAGGCCTGCACGACGTGAGCACTGGGGAATAGGACCTGGCTGGGCAGGGTCGGGAAGCGTCAGGGACAAAATCAGAGCCGCAGGCCGGCAGAGGGGCAGGGGGAGCAGCGGGCGAGCGCGAAGCACGGCTGGCCATCGACCCTGCTTCAGCCCGACCTCAAACTTGCTTCTGTACCTCGGGTAGAGCCAGAGCCCTTTCCACGCCCAGAGCGAGGAGCAGGGCGGCAGCCCAGCGCACCAGGATCGTAAGACTACCCCGGTCGCGAGGCGCCATTTTCCGCTCCCTTGGTTCTCCGCTGCTAGCGCGACCCGACACCCGCAGCCCCGCCCCACGGCGCGTCAGGCCCCCTTCCCCGGGCGTGGCCTAAACGGCCGGGTCCAGTCGCCCTGGGGCGGGTTGGGGGCTGCTCCTGCTCGGGGAGCTCAGCGTTGGTCTTCAGGCGCCCCAGCCTTCTTTCCGGGACACTGGCCGACCCCCTCCTCCTTTTGTCCTTTAGTGAAGGCCTCCGCCGTCGCCGCGCGGCTTCCTAGGGCCGACTGCAGGCTTCTTCAGCCCGGCGTTCCGCGCGTCTGGATGTCGAGGTCGCGTCTCCGCGGAGACTCGGGCCGGTCCATCCGCCCTCAGTAAACATGGCGGCGCGGCGAGCTGGGCTGGCGGAAGGCGGGCGGAGGGCGAGGGCGGGGCTCCACTGTCCTGGTCTGCGCGCCGCGGACCGGCTCTGGCTACCCACGTGTGGAGACCGGGCAGGTGGGCCTGGAGAGCGTGAGTCGGCACCGAGAGGCCCAGGGAGTGGCGTGAGGGCGGGGGCGGGGGCGGGGGCGGGAGGGGCGGAGCGAGCCAACCCCGGGCTGGGAAGATCTGAAAAGTGAGCGGTAGTAATGTGGTCGTGGTCGCCGCGTGGAGGGAATCTGGAAGCCAGGAAAGAACTAGGGTGAGGGTGATGGAGGAGGAAAGGGCAAACCGCAAACTCCAGCGGGAGGACACGAGCCTGGAACGCCCTCGGCACCTAGTCACCTTCATCTCAGTCGTGATAGTGCGCAGCGTCCCGGAGCGTGGCGAGGAGGTAGGAGCGGGATAGACGCTTCCCTAACTCATTTTCTTTGCCTTCTCAGGAAAAGGGAACGATGTTGATCTCTGGAAGCACAGGTGGACCTTCCTAGCCCTGGCTGAACCACGGAGGTAAGGGAGTGCGGCGCTGCCCCAGGGTGGGCCAGCGCCCTGACTGAAGGGCACCTACTCCCGGAGCGACTGTCTTGGTTCAAGCCAACCACAAAGCTCCTTAAACCCGACCCAAGCGATTATCTCTAGTAGCCGACCCAGGCTTCCCTTCCACATTACCCCCCATGGTATCTGCCTGGACGTTCCTGAAAGATTTACATTTAGCTGGCTGGCAAATTTTCTATGGTGTTAGTAGCTATCAGCATTTTTTTTTTTTTTTTTTTTTTTTGAGACAGAGTGGTGCAATTTTGGCTCACTGCAACCTCCACCTCCCGGGTTCAAGCAATTCCCCTGCCTTAGCCTCCCGAGTAGCTGGGACTATAGGCGCATGCGCCACCACACTGGCTAATTTTTTGTGTTTTAGTAGAGATGGGGTTTCACCATGTTGGCCACGATGGTCTCCATCTCCTGACCTCGTGATCCGCCTGCCTCAGCCTCCCAAAGTGCTGGGATTACAGGTGTGAACCACCTTGCCAGGCCGCTAGTGGCATTTTAAGGAGGGCCCCCCAAAGCCTTTCACAGCTTGAGGTATTATAGCCCCAGGACAGATTTTGAGGGGATCATTTTGGAACAGTCCTGCAGGGGACAGTGAGACCCTTTGCCTTTTTTGTAGGAGCCAATTCCATCCACTGCAGTGTGTGAACAAAATGAGTTAGAGTTTTTATTTATTTAATTTTTTTTGTTTAAAATGAATGAGAGGTTCTTATTTTGCCCAGGTTGGTCTTGAACGCATAGCCTCGCCTCCTCAAGCATCAGGACAACTGGCCCAAGCCACTGCAGCTTAGAGTTTTTAAAAGAGGTCCCACAATCTGCTGTTTGTGCCTTAGTGTGTTATAGTGGTAGTGAAACAACAGCTAGCTCTTCCTTTTGGCCCTCCCTTCCTGGAGACATGTAAGGGTTTGGATCAACGTAGGGTTTTTAGAAAACCACAGATCTGTTCTCAGAATCTAGTCTGTTACTGGGTCAGGTTTTTCCTGTCTTCCTTGGCTCTCTCTTGTGCCATCCGGGAGAATTCTCCACACATCATGGAAATAGAATTTTATTAGGAAGTCTTAGCAGAGTATCTTGTACTGTATGTCTGTGTCCCGTATTGGGATTTTCCTGTCTCTGATCACCTGCCTATCTATACCACTAACCCCACAGTGTTCTATGTTCTTTGTACACAGCAGACGTCATCTTTCCTCTTACTCCCCAGTAGTTCCCTTCATCTCTATCATAGCAGTAAAAACTTGTCAAGAACAAATGGGAAAACTCAGGGTGTTGCAATGGCAAAGCCCCAGGACATCTTTAGGTTAAACCAGAGTTTAAGACCAGGTGGGCCGGGCGCGGTGGCTCGCGCCTATAATCCCAGCACTTTGGGAGGCCGAGGCGGGTGGATCACGAGGTCAACAGATCGAGACCATCCTGGTCAACATGGTGAAACCCCGTCTCTACCAAAAATACAAAAAAATTAGCTGGGCGTGGTGGTGCGTGCCTGTAATCCCAGCTACTCAGGAGGCTGAGGCAGGAGAATTGCCTGAACCCAGGAGGCGGAGGTTGCGGTGAGCCGAGATTGCGCCATTGCACTCCAGCCTGGGTAACAAGAGCGAAACTCCGTCTCAAAAAAAAAAAAAGACCAGGCGGGACTGGACGTGGTGGCTCTTGCCTGTAATCCCAACACTTTGGGAGGCTGAGATGGGTGGATCACCTGAGGTCGGGAGACCAGCCCTGCTCACATGGTGAAACCCTGTTTATACCAAACAAAATTAGCTAGGTGTGGTGGCACATGCCTATAATCCCATCTACTTGGGAGGCTGAGGCAGAAGAATCTCTTGAATCCCAGAGGTGGAGGTGTAGTGAACCAAGAATACACTGTGGGAGAGCCAGAAGTCAGCCTAATCTTTCTTCTAGTGGGCAAAAGCAGAAGACACAGTTTAATCTGTCTCTTGGTTGGTTGAAATCTAAACTATGTCCTGTGAATGACTGACTACATCACTCTGCTCCTCCCCTGGTTCTGGGAGTAGTGAGAACAGGGCCCTTGGTGAACACCTGTCATAGCTGCAGACAGTACTGCTTCTTTCTCTCTTGTTTTTTATCATGCTGCATAACCTTGAGCAAGTTATTTAATCTCTCCATTTTCTTGTGATAACTGGAGAGTATTCATGTCTCAACCTGAGACATAGTGTTTTCAAAAGTTATTACTTTGTTATTTATTATTGCTAATGTTTATAAAGCGCCTCACACACTGCTGGGTTACACAGCAGGTGTTCAAGGAGTAACTGTCATCATGTTAGGCTGTCTAACTACATAGCATTCTCTTTTTTCCCTATACCAGTAAATACACCAGAGGATTGCCTCTGAAGATAATATGGTATGCATGGAGAACAGACAGGGTGGATGGTGAATCCCTAGACCTGGGTTCTAATTTACCCTCTGACAATAGTAGGCTCTGTAGTTTTGGAAAGGTCACTTGAACCATCTGAGCCTTAGTGTGTTTATCTGTGAAATGGTCAGTGGTGGGGGGGTTGGTCATAACAGTGGCATCCAAAGATTTAACATTTTAAATATTATGATCCCTTCCCTCTTTCTCTGAGGATTGTCATATATTCTTGGAGAATTAACATACCTTGTGTAGGAGTTAGAAAATCAACTTTCAACTTTCCCGTCTTTTCAGTTCCGCTTTCCAACTCCCTCCAGCACAGAGTGCCAAGAGTACTTTAGGCTGAAATCCTAATCCATCTAGGAATGCTGTTGAATGTGAGCTCCTTTTTCCCTCTTCTGGAGCCTCTAGGGCTGAGTTGGAGCTTGTGGGCCATAGGGTGACAGGGTCATTTGGAGCACAGCAGTTGGTTACCTGAAGGGGCCAGAACAAATGACTGCTGAGCGCCACCCCCAATTCCTGATCTCACCACAGCCACTCATAGAACCAGATCTTCAGCTCTGCAACTCCAGGCAACTCTGCCTTAGAACAAGGATTGCTTTTCCAGGTAGGTGTCTGCCCCCAGCAGGATGTGACTACTCTCTCTGGCTCGTGCCTTTGCCTCTCAGCTCCTTGGCTGGGTTGCTTCTCAGGGGCAGTAGGGGAAGCTCTGCTGCCATTAGTCTCCATGTTGTCTTTCCTGCTGGGCTGTGGCGCCAGGCTGGGCTCTGCTGGCTTAGTGTATTGTAGTGACTAGGTCTGTGCCTTCAAGTGGGGCCAGGAAATTCTGCAAAGAAACTTAGACTAGAGTTTATTTTTCTTTTGCTACTTGGGTGGAGACCTAAGAAGTTTCTTGAATTTCAGAGCTCTTGCGTACCCAAAGGTCCTGGCCAAGTTCTATTGTCTCTTGGCTGTCTCACTCTGCTGCTTCCCCCTCACTTACCTCCCCTACCAAACCCATATCAGGGCCTCCAGACCCTGAAGGGCTACCACTATGCTGGCTGGTCCTCTTCTGGTGGGCGTGGAATGTACAAGGCCCAAGGGTAAATGGCTACCAAGGCAAGATAGGCCTCACTAAGAGCTAATTCCTTTGCAGCTCACCCTGGACAGTATCATTCCGTGGAGGAAGACTGTGAGACCTTGGCTGGGAGCCAGGTTGTAGCCACACATCCGCCCCTGCCCTAGCCCAGAGCCTTGGAGCGTCAGCTGGCTGCAGATCACAGATACAGTGAGGATATGAGTGTAGGGCTGAACACCTCAGCCCCTCTTTCCCCAGCCTCGGACACAAGCATGGGCACGTCCACTTTCTCCCTTGTGGACTATGTGGTGTTCACCCTGCTGCTGGTTCTCTCTCTTGCCATTGGGCTCTACCATGCTTTTCGTGGCTGGGGCCGGCATACTATCGGCGAGCTGCTGTTGGCGGACCGCAAAATGGGCTGCCTTCCGGTGGCACTGTCCCTGCTGGCCACCTTCCAGTCAGCCGTTGCCCTCCTGGGTGTGCCGTCTGAGATCTACCGATTTGGAACCCAGTATTGGTTCCTGGGCTGCTGCTACTTCCTGGGGCTGCTGATACCTGCACACATCTTCATCCCCGTTTTCTACCGTCTGCACCTTACCAGTGCATATGAGGTGAGCAGGGACGGAAGGGAGAAGCACATGGGACCGCTGGGGTTGGGGTGGAGCGGATGGACAGGCACATCTGAAGGGCCTGGGACTCTGGACCTTCTCCACCTAATGGGAATGACAGAAAATTCATCGTGTGTTTTTAGTTCTTTGATGTCAGGAGTGGGAGCAGGGTTGTAGAGGGTGCATGCCAAGTGGGACTCAGAGAGGGTCTGGGTTGGATGTTCCCTCGTGCTCCTGAGCATCTTGACGGAAGTTTTGTGTGAGTTGTGGGGATGAAGTCAGGAGGAAAACCTTTTTTCTGTATACCCAGTACCTGGAGCTTCGATTCAGTAAAACTGTGCGAGTATGTGGAACTATGACCTTCATCTTTCAGATGGTAAGTAGAATGAGGATAGAAACCAAGCCTGGGGCATGTTGGGGGACCTGAACCCAAGTGTGCCGAGGGAATTCGAGTCTCCCCTTCTCTCAGACTGGCAGGATTGAAATTCCTGCTAGAGCTTAGCATCTGTAAAGCTCCCAGAGGCCTATTCCTTCTAATTCCAGCACAGATACTATGGTGGCAGCAAGGCAGAATTGGGAGGAGGAGGAAGAGGAAAGGGAGCCTAGGTGAGAGGAAGCCATGGGCATATTGGTGCTGAAGCCCATCTTTCTTCCTCTCTCTTCCCACCCTTCCCCTCTCCCCGCTCACAATTTTTCCACATCCAACAGGTAATCTACATGGGGGTTGTGCTCTATGCTCCATCCCTGGCTCTTAATGCAGGTGAGGAGTCACACAGCCATGGGAGGCTAGGAAGGCACCTTTTGGGGGGCAGGTGGAGAAGAGTGTGTGGAAAAGAACCTGATCTCGGACGGGGAATTAATTTACTGCTTAGGCCCTTGGGTGGGTCTCTACCAGAGGGAGGCTTGGTCCACCTCGCTTGAAAGCTAGTGACATCTTAACCATGCCTCATCTGAACTGGTTAAGCAATACCTTTTGGTGGAGCTCTGCAAACTTTTTTTTCCCGTTGTGGTGAATGATTTACGTCATTGTTAATCACCGAATGCTTTATCTCTGTGGCATGACATGATTGCCCTACCAGGGCTTCTAAGCTCATGTGGCTTATGTGCTTACAGTGACTGGCTTTGATCTGTGGCTGTCAGTGCTGACCCTAGGCATTGTCTGTACCATCTATACTTCTCTGGTAAGTGCAGTAAGTCCCGGTGGTGGGGAGGGGAACGGATGAAGTAAAGAGGGGAGATGGGAAGAGAAGGAAGAGAAGAGATAAGCTGAGAATATAGGTGAGGAGAATACAGGTGAAATTCTAAGGTGGGATGAGGTAAGATTTATGATAGGATTTAGCAGTGGGTGTAGCATATGAAGGTAGAGGATGGGATGGGAATGATGTCAACAGAGTCACAGCAATTATGTGCCTAACGGAGGAGAGTCCCCTCATTGGTAGTATGTCCTTAGGGTGGATGGTTACAGGAGTGTCCGAGAGAGAGAATATAGTCATGGGTTTTTAGTTTCTGTTTCTAGTTGGGTCAATAAAGCCCCTTCCTCATTTCTCTTTTATACTTATCACTAGAGACAGAAAATAAAAACTGGCTTCAGGCTGCAAAAAGCCTAAAACAAAAGAACAACAAAATAAGGCAGGTTGGACAAGCGCGTTTGGAAGGCCTTTGTGGTAGGTTTGCTGTGCTTTCCTTGCAGGGTGGGCTGAAGGCTGTCATCTGGACAGATGTGTTCCAGACACTGGTCATGTTCCTTGGGCAGCTGGCAGTTATCATTGTGGGGTCGGCCAAGGTGGGCGGCTTGGGGCATGTGTGGGCTGTGGCTTCTCAGCACGGCCGCATCTCTGGGATCGAGTAAGTATACCCCTACCTCCGGCTGGGATCTGCAGTGCCTGGGCTCTAGTAAGCAGAGGGCAAATTGGGAAGCCTGAGGTGTAGCAGCAGACAGCGGGAAACTGGCCCGGCAGAAATGGAGGGTGATTACAGTGCCCGGCTAGTGTTTATGGAGGGTCAGGACGTTACCTGGGATGAGTACCTGGAATGAGGCTGTGGTGGAAGAGTGGAGCCTCCCTCTAACTGGCTGTGCTGTCTCTCAAGTACACCCAGCTTCTTGCCTTCAGTCAGTCCCTTGGCCCTAGCAGTGGTATCTCCCCTCCTCTCCACCTGCCAAGAGGGCAGGAAGGCTGTGTCTCTGGGGCTTTGCACAATGACTGGGTGGTGTCTGTTACAGGCTGGATCCAGACCCCTTTGTGCGGCACACCTTCTGGACCTTGGCCTTTGGGGGTGTCTTCATGATGCTCTCCTTGTATGGGGTGAACCAGGCTCAGGTGCAGCGGTACCTCAGTTCCCGCACGGAGAAGGCTGCTGTGCTGTGAGTGCAGGGCCAGGAAGAGAGTGGAGCAAGGTCTAGGGGAAGGGGTTCCCTAGAGATCATTGGGGTGGGGCAGGATGCCAGAGTGCATACACATCCACTGGGGTGGGTCTCCTTTCTTGAGGTCAGGGGCACATGCCTGAGGGTGCCTGTTGGCATTGATCTCTTTTGCAGGTCCTGTTACGCAGTGTTCCCCTGCCAGCAGGTGGCCCTCTGCATGGGCTGCCTTATTGGCCTGGTTATGTTCACGTATTACCAGGAGCATTCCATGAGCATTCAGCAGGCTCAGGCAGCCCCAGACCAGGTGAGAAGGCCCTCTCCTGTTCCTGTGAGGGCAGGCCTGGCCCCTCAATAGGAGTGTCTAGGTAGGAAAGGACTCCCACTCGGGGTGGGAGATGGTTGTAAAGTCTTTCCCACTCTGAGATGCTAGCAGTCTAGCTTGTGAGGATCCCAGCCTCTAGCATCACTAACCACAGTGCTCATTCTATTGGGATGAGGACCTACCCTTACTGACTCCCAATTGGGCTCCATGTGCTCTGCTGGGAGCTCTCACATCCCTGGTCTCACCTAAGCCTCCCAATAGCCTCATTTCACAGAGGAGAAAAACAGACTCAGCAAGGTAGCCAGTAAGCAGAAATCACACTAGTAGCCAGAGACAGAGCTGTGGGCAAATTGTAATTCCCTCTGCAAAGCCCATTTTCTCTCCACTTAATGTGCAGTCACTTGGGTCAACAGAAATGCCTAGGCCCTGGTTTCCCTTCTAACACACCCAGTGTGGGTAGATTCGCTGGGGCACGTGCAAAGGGAGCTTCCCTACAGAGCCACCCTGGGAAGGCCCCTCTCTGAGGACAGCTCTGCACCTCCCACTCTGCTTGTAGTTCGTCCTGTACTTTGTGATCGATCTCCTGAAGGACCTGCCTGGCCTGCCGGGGCTCTTTGTTGCCTGCCTCTTCAGCGGCTCCCTCAGGTACCCCCTTTGACCATTTCACTCAGGCCTGAGTCACCTGACCCCCATTTGGTACAAGGTGATGAGTGGAGTGGGGTGGCGAGGGTGGGGGGAGGGGAATCCCCCTGAGTTTCTTACTGTGCCTGTCCCATCTGTGTGGGTAACAAGGGATAGCTCATCTCTGTAGGCCAGAGCACATTTTCTCTCAAGAGATACCCCTGTTTTGGTTAAGAGTTCTTTTATGATACCATAAATTGATCTACTTGAATGAAACCCATATCCACACTCAGAAAAGGACTGTGTCCTTGCCTTCAAGGGCTGATCTGAGGTGGCATTAGGTCCAACTATGAGGAGGTTTCCTGGTGGTATATGCTATCTCCCCGCTTTCGGGCACCATCTCCTCCATAGAGTCGATAGTTCCGCCTTGCTCAACTCCTCCTCCTTTTCTTCCTCTTTTTCAGCACTATATCCTCTGCTTTTAATTCATTGGCAACGGTGACAATAGAAGACCTGATTCGCCCCTGGTTCCCTGAATTCGCTGAAGCCCGGCCCATCATGCTTTCCAGAGGCCTTGGTGGGGTTATGCTTTCTTATTTCTTCAGTCTGGGTCTTTCTAAGCTACACCCTGACCACTGTCATCCGTCTGCTGTAAAACGCCCACTTTATCCAGGGCCCAGCACTTGCCTAATGAAGCACACAACCTTCCCTATGTGCATGGTTGTTTACATCTCAGGGCATGGCCTAGGAAGTTGTCTGAGTCACATAGGAACGAGGACTTGGTGGGAGGAAGCTGGAGCATGATGTAATCCGCCTTTTGCTTCCAGGGAGACAGAGGTGGTAGTTTGGCTGGGCAGGGAGCCTTGCTTTACCCCATTGATTGTATTAACCCACATCTTGTTTTCTGTCCTCTCCTTTTTCCCCAGCCTTTGGCTATGGGCTACTTTGTCTGGGAATGGCCTATATTTCCTCCCAGATGGGACCTGTGCTACAGGTAATAACTATAGAGGGTAGAAAGCAATTTTAAGGGAGAGAAAGAATCAATTGAAACAGGAAGTTGAGAAAGGCAGCTATATTGAGGGGAGTGACCAGGGGGCAGGTGTAAGAGATTCCCCTTTGATGGACCACCTTCACTGTGAACAGACTTCCAAGCAGCCAGAGGCCCCAGGGTCATTCCTGGGATATTGTAGGCTCAGAGAGCTAAGGATCAGCCTCAGAGGAGAACCCAAAGCACATCTCTCCCCGTCAGCCCTTCAGCAGCCATTCCTGCCCTCTGGAGTTCTTTTTTTGAGACAGAGTCTCGTTCTGTTGCCCAGGCTGCAGCGCAGTGACACGGTCTCGGCTCGCTGCAACCTCCACTTCCGGATTCTAGTGATTCTCCTGTCTCAGCCTCCTGAGTAGCTGGGATTACAGGCATACACCACCACACCAGCTAATTTTTGTATTTTTAGTAGAATCGGGGTTTTACCATGTTGGCCAGGCTGGTCTCGAACTCCTGACCTCAGGTGATCCACCCGCCTTGACCTCCCAAAATGTTAGGATTACAGACCTGAGCCACGGTGCCCAGCCACTTCTGGAGTTCTGATTGTTCCCATAAAAGAGACAAATCTGACAAGTGGGGTTCTGAGGCCATGGCGGATGGCTGTGCCCTATGGTAAGTCTGGGCATCTCTGAGTCTGTGTTCTTTTTTCTTCTCACCCTGTCTTCCTAGGCAGCAATCAGCATCTTTGGCATGGTTGGAGGGCCACTGCTGGGACTCTTCTGCCTTGGGATGTTCTTTCCTTGTGCCAACCCTCCTGTGAGTGATGCATCTGGATCCACAGTCATGTGCAGTGGGATGGGCCTGGGGGACAGGTTGGCAGGGCTGTCACCAGGAGAGCTGAGGACTGCTGTGAGGGCTGGCAGGGCTGGCCTTGTGACAGGTGTGCACTGTGTCTCGGCAGGGTGCTGTTGTGGGCCTGTTGGCTGGACTTGTCATGGCCTTCTGGATCGGCATCGGGAGCATCGTGACCAGCATGGGCTCCCGCATGTCACCCCCTCCCACTAATGGGTCTAGCTTCTCCCTGCCCAGCAATCTAACCGTTGCCGCTGTGACCACGCTGATGCCCTCGACTATCCTCTCCAAGTAAGGCGGAGCTTGCTGTCTTTCTCCTTGTTTTCTCAAAGCCCTCCTTTGAGGGCTTTCACAGGGGTCTTGCGAAGGGATAGGCCACCAGAGGCCCCAGGGAAATGTTGGGTATTGGGTCCCAAGACCCTGGGACTATGTGGGCGAGTGGAGACTGGTGCCCAAGGAATGCTCTGCCAACGAATTGCTGATTGTCCTCCCCTCTGCTTTTCTCAGGCCCACAGGGCTGCAGCGGCTCTATTCCCTGTCCTACTTATGGTACAGCGCTCACAACTCCACCACAGTCATTGTGGTGGGCCTGATTGTCAGTCTGCTCACCGGTGAGGGTGCGGGATTGCAGTGCAGATAAACACGGAGGGTCTCTGGGAGAGCCCTAGGGGACTCTACCCTCTGGGGAGAAAGGCTCCTGCCGTCTGAGCTCTTGGGTGTCTGTGGCTGTCAGGTTTTTTTTGCTGGGATGTAGGAGGTGGGTGGGGGCTGGGGCCTCTGCGGCCCAAGGGAGGACACGGGTCCACTGCTGTGGATGGTTCCACGCAGAGACTCAGAAGCACCTCTGCCTTCAGGGGGAATGCGGGGCCGGTCCCTGAACCCTGCGACCATTTACCCAGTATGGCCGAAGCTCGTGGCCCTCCTGCCCTTGTCCTGTCAGAAGCGGCTCCACTGTGGGAGCTACAGCCAGGTAGTACCTGCTGTCCAAGTGACCCCTCCCTGCCCTTCTCTGCAGGCACTGACCCTCCAGGTTCCCTTCCACCCCTTTTCTCTCCGCCTTCCCTCGGTGCCCTTCTCTCTCAGGATCAGCTAAGCCTGGACTGTCCCACATGGCTGTCTCAGCTTCTACCCATAGGGGACGCACTGGCTTACGGGATAGAAGGATCTCAGGGCTCAGAGGAGATCAGCCCCAGCCTGGGCCAGTCAGCTGCCCTCCCCTTCCCGAGCTCCCCACCGTGCTGTCTAGCGGGGACCTTTTCCGTGTGAATCCCGTCACCACCCGTGGTCCCTGTTTACCAGCTCCACCCGCTTTGCTCTGTGTTTGTAGAACCACCTCATAAATGGTGAGCTGTTTTCCAAGAAGCTGAGGAATGGTGTGCTAGGGGACAGCAGAGACAAGGAGGCCATGGCCCTGGACGGCATGGCCCATCAGGGGAGCAACCCCACCTGCATCCTCCATGAGACCTCCCTGTGATGTTGACTCAGGACCCCGCCTCTGTCCTCACTGTGCCAGGCCGTAGCCAGAGGCCACCCTGTAGTACAGGGATGAGTCTTGCTGTGTTCAGGGACAGGCCTGGATGACCTCACTCATACCAAAAGACCTTGTTCTTAGAGGTTCTCACCGGCAGTAGAAGCTATCACATCTCAAGCATGTGAGGCACTGTTTCCCTCGTCGCCTGCCAATCTGTTTTCTAAAGGACCAGGCTTGGGAGCAGGATCATGTCAGAAATAAGGATCGAAGTGCATCCTCTGGGGAAAAGATAATGGCTTCTGATTCAACATAGCCAGAGTCCTTTGAAGTGGCTAGAAACAGCACTCCGGTTATAACTGCCCCAGGGCCCGATTCAAGACTAACAGTCTTCACAGTGAAACTGGAAGCTGCGTCCCCTGTAGTCCACATCTCAGCACCAGTTCTGCCAGCCACAGTGGGCCCCTGTGGTTACTTTCAGATTGTGACACTCAAGCCCGTCTCATTCTTATCTGTCTACCTCTATTGTGAAGAGGGAGGTTTTGGTGTCCCTGGGTCTCTGGGAATAGAAGGTCCATTTGTCTCCTTTGTGTAGAGCAGGCAAGTTTTCTGCCTCACTGCGTCCATCCTCCACCTCTGAGATGGACACTTAGAGACAGGGGTAAATGTGGATCCCAGAAACCAGGGCCGTGACTGGGTCCACTGTGGAACAGCCATCTATTTACCCGCCTCCTGGGCCAGGCCACCGTAGTGTAATTTCTGTCATCTCTGCCCGGTTTCCTTTTGGAGTTTCTTCCCCACATATCATTGTTCCTGAGGAATAAAAACTACCATTGGACCTAGAATTTGGGCTCCTGTACTCTCTCCGCCTGCTCTTGTCCACCCTGTCGCATCCCCTGGGTAAGGAGTCCCATCTCATGTACAGATCACCTTCCTGTGCTGAGGAGAGGGGCTGCTGCCGGGGACAGCATTGTGCTCACCAGGGTGGAAGATACACACTCTCTCCTAAGACTTCTCATCCCCTGGGGCTTACTTAGTCTATTCCTTCTCTGGCCCCACTTTCCCTTTGCCAGAACAACTTTTGCTCTCAGGTTTTTACTTTTGGAACTAGAGGAAGAATGTTCCCATACGATTTTAGAAACAGAACATTCTAGCTGGACTTTTTTTTTTTTTTTTTTTTTTTTTTTTTTTGAGACGGAGTTTCACTCTTGTTACCCAGGCTGGAGTGCAATGGCGCGATCTCGGCTCACCGCAACCTCCACCTCCTGGGCTCAGGCAATTCTCCTGCCTCAGCCTCCTGAGTACCTGGGATTATAGGCACGTGCCATCATGCACAGCTAATTTTTTGCACTTTTAGTAGAGACGGGGTTTCACCATGTTGACCAGGATGGTCTCGATCTCTCGACCTCGTGATCCACCCGCCTCGGCCTCCCAAAGTGCTGGGATTACAGGCTTGAGCCACCGCGCCCGGCTCTAGCTGGACTTTTATGGTCTTATGAAGAACAGTGTGCTCATACCCTCCCACACCTGGCCTGTGCTCCTGCCTGGCCCCGTCCAGCTGCCCACATCAGCTCTGCACAAGCTCTTCAGGGTCTCTTAGCAGAGACCTGGTCCCAGGCATATCTGAGTTCAGCCTTGTCTGAGGCCTTCTCCTGGAGCAGTTCTAGCTGTTCACATTCTAGCTGTTGTCACATTCAGTGCAGCTCAGGCCTGGGATGTTCCGTGTCCCTTTTTCTACTTCTACCCCAGCTCGCTCAGTCACACCCCAGCCCCTTTCACCTCTGCCCTGGCCAGCCCTGTGGAGGAACAGGGGGCCCCGTTGTGCCAAGAGTCCAGACGCTAGCCACTCCCAACCTGTCCAGTCTGCATTTATGTTCATGATGATAATGATGTCTCCTAATGGATCTTAAACCTGCTGCCCTGAATTTTTTTTTTTTTTTTTCCATTCCACAAGGCTCTGGTCTTGAACATGGACATTCCTTCTCAGTATGGACTTTAGATATTTGGTCATGATCTATTCTAGGTCTAGGAAGGTACTTTGACAGGCCAAAGGTATGTCCACTGAATTTACCATATTTCACACATGTCCGAGTGGTACAGGGAGAATTGGGAGAATGATATACCCTAATTTGCTGAATTAGGGTTGAAGTGAGTCTATGTGAGAGGACATGAAAACGTTTTACTAGGGGCCTCTGGCCTCAGGCCTATTTTGTTTCGTCTTGTGAATTAAAAATTCAATGATGGAAAGATGAGAAGCCTATAATTATCGTTCAGAAAAGAATACTTTGGGAGATAGGCAAGAGGATTGCTTGAGGCCAGGAGTTCCAGACCAGCCCGGGCAACATAACCAGACCCCATCTCTACAAAAACAAAAATTAGCCTAGCCGGCATGCTGGCATGTACCTGAGTCCCAGCCACTTTGGAGGCTGAGGTGGGAGGATTGCTTGAGCCCAGGAGGCTGAGGTTGCAGTGAGCCAAGATTGTACCACTGCACTCCAGCCTGGGCAACAGAGCCCTTTAAAAGAAAAAAAAAAAAAAAATCCATTTTCTTTCATAGATTGTTTTTGGGGAATGTAATTGAATCTATCATGCCAGGATCCCAGATTCAAGCCTTATTTGTTTTCCGATTCAGGTGCCCTAGTAGAGCTGCTTCTTAGGACAAGGTCTCACCAACATAGGCAACAGAAACTGAGAATGTCTATGAAAACTAGAAGTGGACAATTTATGGCTCAAGCACTACAGGAAGGTGAGACTGATGATTGCATGTCATCAAGAACTGTTGAGGGAATGGGATCTTGTCTGGATTCTTGGGGCCTGACCTCTGAACTCATTTTCTGGCCAAGCCAGTGTCTGTAGGAGAGTTGAGAGCAGGATACCCCTCACTGCTGCCCTTCGTCCAGGGCTTTAGCATAAAAAAAATACATTGGTCATATCTGCAAACATTGGGATTGTAAAGTGAGTAATGCTCACAACTGCACTCTCTAATTCCTCCAAGAATTGTGCATCCTTCCAGTAAAAGTGAGGAGAGTCCCAGAACATGCCATGTTGACTCTGCCCAGAGGTCTGCCCTCCTCTCTGTAGTCCCTCCCCCTGGGACACAAGGGCACTGTTTCTTGGCTAACAACCTCACCCACCCTACCAATCTGCCAAAAGTTCTAGACCTAAGTGGGCCCTCGTTCAGTATATTTATCAATCACCTACTACATGTAAAGGCCGAATCTTTTTTTTTTTTCTTTTTTTCAAAAAAGAGTCTTGCTCTGTTGCCCAGGCTATAGTGCTGTGGCACGATCTCAGTTCAGTACAACCTCCGCCTCCTGGGTTCAAGCAATTCTCTGACTCAGTCTCCTGAGTAGCTGGTATTATAGGCACCCACCATTATGCCTGGCTAATTTTTTGTATTTTTAGTAGAGATATAGTTTCACCATCTTGGCCAGGCTGGTCTTGAACTCCTGACCTTGTGATCCACTCGCCTCGGCCTCTCAAAGTGCTGGGAATACAAGCGTAAGCCACCGCACCCGGCCGGGCCTCACCTTTTATACAGCTAAAGAAACTGCTATGACAACCCAGGACTCTACCAGGTGTCAATCTGAAATTCTTGCATTTTAACTATATTTGCACTGAAAAGGAAATAAGAACGCTACAGGATTAAAAACTTTCAAGAGTTATAATATTTAGGGGAAATGGCAAAAAGATCCAATTCTTCATACCACTTTCAAACCTTAGAGAGCAAAGATGCTCTTTCATTGCTAACATAGTAAACCTTTTTCTTTATGCAGCATTTTAAAAGTCTGAAGGTGTAGTCTAAGGCTTGGGTTCAAATACTGGTACATCTGTCTAACCTTAAGCTTCAGTCTTCATCTGTTACATGTGAAATTCACAGGGTTGTTTAAGAACTCAAAACTGGCCGGGCGCGGTGGCTCAAGCCTGTAATCCCAGCACTTTGGGAGGCCGAGGCGGGTGGATCACGAGGTCGAGAAATCGAGACCATCCTGGTCAACATGGTGAAACCCCGTCTCTACTAAAAATACAAAAAAACTAGCTGGGTGTGGTGGCGCGTGCCTGTAATGCCAGCTACTCAGGAGGCTGAGGCAGGAGAATTGCCTGAGCCCAGGAGGCGGAGGTTGCGGTGAGCCGAGATCGCGCCATTGCACTCCAGCCTGGGTAACAAGAGCGAAAGAAACTCCGTCTCAAAAAAAAAAAAAAAAAAAAAAAGAACTCAAAACTATATTGCATGCTTATATATGTACATATATATATGCATGCCTTAAATATCAGTTATTGTAATAATTATTCTTGTAGTTTTTAAAGCACTTTTCATATACTACCTGATATATGATATTCTTCCTTGGAAAATAAATACTTCCCATATCATCTGGGTTTTTAATATGCAAAGTAACTGGATTGCTTGGCTGGTAAGTGCTTAAGGCAGAGCTAAAATGAGGGTCTATGACTCCCAGTAGCCCAGCAAGTTGTATTTGTGTTGTCATGAACACAATGTCTTTTTGGATAGGATATTGTTATCTGGATTCACAGAGTATTTCCTGGGACATCAGTCCCTCGTACAGTGAGGGGCTAAGTAGGGGGCAATGGTACTATATCATTCTAGAATCTTTCTGGAGCAGTGGCTTGAAAACTTTTTTGACTGAAATCCACAGTAAGAAATATACTTTGGCTGGGTGCGGTGGCTCACGCCTGTAATTCCAGCACTTTGGGAGGCCGAGGCGGGTGGATCACGAGGTCAGGAGATCGAGACCATCCTGGTCAATATGGTGAAACCCCACCTCTACTAAAAATACAAAAAATTAGCTGGGCATGGTGGTGCGTGCCTGTAATCCCAGCTGCTCAGGAGGCTGAGGCAGGAGAATTGCCTGAACCCAGGAGGCGGAGGTTGTGGTGAGCCGAGATCGCGCCATTGCACTCCAGCCTGGGTAACAAGAGTGAAACTCTGTCTCAAAAAAAAAAAAAGAAAGAAAGAAAAAGAAATATACTTTACATCATGATCCAACATACATATAAATTGCTTTTTTTTTTTTTCTTTTTTTGAGATAGGGCCTTGCTCTATTGGCCAGGTTGGAGTGCAGTGACGCCATCTTGGTTTACTACAACTCTGCCTCCCAGGCTCAACTCAAGCAATCCTCTCACCTCAGCCAGGGCTACATGGGAAGGTAGTTAGCCAGGGAACAACCCATAACATACGATGCGAAGAACTCACATCAATTACAAACAAAATACAATTTGGCACCATTGCTTTGATTCATGCTAAGACGACTGCAGTTTTACCCAAATTGCTTTTACAATATCAGTGCAGATATTCATAGAGTGAAAAGGGCAAATTACATTTTAGTCTTACTATATAAGAAAACAGTTTTAACCTTAGTGATTCCCTGATAAGATCTTAGGGACCCCTAGGGTTCTGTGGACCACACTTGGGGAACTGTCGCCCTAAACCAGGAGACATACAAGAACTATCATAATAACATATTAACCTCAGGCCAGGTGCCGTGGCTCATATCTGTAATCCTAGCACTTTGGGAGGCCAAGGCAGATGAATCACGTAAGCTCAGGAGTTCAAGACCAGCCTGGCCAGCATGGAGAAACCCTATTTCTACTAAAAATACAAAGAAAAAAAAAATTAGCCATGTGTGGTGGTGCACCCCTGTGATCCTAGCTACTCTGGAAGCTGAAGCAGGAGAATCACTTGAACCCAGGAGGTGGAGGTTACAGTGAGCCAAGATCACACCACTGCACTCCAGCCTGGGCAACAGAGTGATACTCCATCTCAAACGAAAAAGAAAGAAAAAAAAGAAAGCAAGTCACATCACAGAAGGACACACTGTAATTCCGT